CCTCTGGCGACAGAGGCATGTAGTCTAGACGTACCCACACTGTTGACTCATGTTTAACTATGACCCCATGATCCCTTTCTGCACTACTCCTTCCTAGACAGTCACTTCCCATTCTGTGTGAAACTGATCGTTCCTTCCTAAGTGGAGTACTTTGCATTTATTCTTATTAAACTTCATCCTGTTTACCTCAGACTATTTTTCTAGTTTGTCCAGATCATTCTGAATTATGACTCTCTCCTCCAAAGCACTTGCAATCCCTCCGAGCTTGGTATCATCTCTAAACTTAAACCCCTAGCATGACATCATACTTGTTTTTTACCCCTTTTATCTTAACTCAGAGATTCTCAATAAGTCTGTCTCCTATGTCCATCTCAACCTCAGTCCAAGTGTGTACATTTTTAATATATAAGGCAACACATGTCCTCCCTTTTCCTACCTATCCTTTTGAGTAAGATTTACCCTCCTACACCAATATTCATGTGTGTTAGTATATGTACATTTTTTGCATCTTTCAAACATGGCAGCGATTATTTGCTTTTCATTTCATTTAAGAGTCCTACAAGTATTTTGGAAAGAAAGGGGTTTGGAATTTACTTCTTAGATCAAAGAGGCTTTCTGGTGGGCAACTTCAAGCAAATTAATACTCTCTAGGTGATAGGGCACACTAGAACTACCCTCCAAGAGTAATGTTACACATTTTCCCATATGTGAACAATTTACATGAGTGAGCTCAAACTTGGGATAAGTTAGTCCTCTCTTCAGTGCTCATAAGCCTTAACATTACCTTGTCCATCATCAATTCAATTATATTTTTGTTTTCTGCATTGTATCTTGCTTTCCCATTCAGAGATCAAGTCTTTTCTCCCTTCAGATAAAATCATCTACCATCCCTAGTTTCCGAGATTCTGGTACTCTGACTACTCCCAAGACTACATTTCATCATTTGTCCACTTTATATAGCATCTATGCTCTTAAGAAGCCTAAGTATTACCCTAGCTGTAACTGCAGGGTGCATTAGTGCCCCTCCCACAGAGATAAAATTGTAGCTTAGCCGTGTATGTTACATTGTTTATTATTGTTGTCTTGTACATTGTACAGGAGCCAAGTGAACTCTGGGCACAGTTCCCCTCCCCACTGCATCCCTCCTTTTCCAAAACATAAAAGTAGCATTTTAAAAGAAAGGCTTTAAATAATACAGGCAAGTTATCCTCACCTTGAGCTTTATCCTAAGAAAATAATGCAAAGTTGAAAGATCAAGTTTATAAGCTACAGTTCCTCTGTAACTTGATAGAGCTGACATTTTCATAATAAGATCCACAAGCATGAGCTACCCAAAGCTCACCTGAATATTAGAGATGCATCTCCAGGGCCCTTGTCCATTTGGAAATTCTCTGTCCTTCTTGTGCTTTTTAATCAAACCCTAGAACATGCCCTTCATCCTGTTTTAAATTTATACTCAAAATCCTCAGTCACCTCACTGTTCTTGTCACCTCCTCTTCTGGGAGGCAATTGCCAGTGATGGCTTGATGTGTCTTCCCCAACTCAGAAGAGGACAGCTAATATTAGCAAAGTGTTGGGTGGCATGGTTCCTTTCCCAGACCTTAAGAACAGCTCTGTGTAGTTTGAAACCTTGTACATTTCACCAGCAGAGGCTGGTCCAGTATAAGCTATTGCTTCATCCATCATGTCTCCACAGCTGCTGGAACAATTTTCATACTGGGCGTGCCGAGAGCCATTGAACCAAACTGTAAAACTTGTATGCAACGGAAAGCACTTGAAATCAGGAGATCCAGTAGTACTCCCTCCCTGAATCCTTAGTTCCAACATCTGTGTTGTCTCATATCCTGGGAACAGTACTGCAACACAGCAAACAGGCTAGTTTAGTGATAGAAATGTAGCCGTGTTAGTCTGGGGTAGTTGAAGCAAAATGCAGGACAATGTAGCACTTTAAAGACTAACAAGATGGTTTATTAGATGATGAGCTTTCGTGGGCCAGACCCACTTCCTCAGATCAAATAGTGGAAGAAAGTAGTCACAACCATATATACCAAAGGATACAATTAAAAAAAAGAACAAATATGAAAAGGACAAATCACATTGCAGAACAGAAGGAGGAGGCGGGGGGGTGGGAAGGGGGAGGAAGGAAGGTAAGTGTCTGTGAATTGATGATATTAGAGGTAGGGAGAGTGGGATGTTTGTGAGTTAATGGTATTACAGGTGATAATTGGGGAAACTGTCTTGATAATGGGTGAGAAAGTTCAAAGACTTGTTAAGTCCCTGGTGGTAAGTGTCGAATTTTAACATGAATGACAGTTCAGAGGATTCCCTTTCAAGTGCAGATGTAAAAGGTCTTTGTAGCAGAATGCAGGTGGCTAAGTCATTTAGAGAGTGTCCTTTCTGGTTAAAGTGGCAAGAAACTGTTTTCTCTTTGTGATCTTGTCTGATATCTGTTTTGTGGGCATTAATCCTTTGGCGAAGTGTCTGAGATGTTTGTCCAATGTACATAGCAGACGGACACTTTCGGCACATGATAGCGTAGATTATATTTCTGGATGCGCAGGAATATGTGTTCTTGATCTTATAACTCACTTGGTTAGGTCCAATAATGGTATCAGCAGAATGAATATGTGGACAAAGCTGGCAACGGGGTTTGTTGCAAGGGAAGGTACCAGGGTTGGTATTAGTGTGGTATGTCCTGTGGTGGTTGGTAAGAATCATCTTGAGGTTAGGTGGTTGTCTATAGGAGACTATGGGTCTGTCTCCCAGAGCCTCTTTGAGTATGGTATCCTGTTCCAATATAGGCTGTAGTTTATTGATAATGTGTTGGACAGGTTTAAGTTGGGGGTTGTAGGTGATGACAAGTGGTGTTCTATTGTTGGTTTTCTTGGGTCTGTCTTGAAGTAGATGGTTTCTAGGTATTCGTCTGGCTCTTTCAATTTGCTTAACTCCAGGCAGCTGCCCGGCTACACTTGGGGGCCTGAACAATCTACTCTTACTACATTTTTAAAAGCAGAAAGGAATAAGGCCACTCACCAAATTACAAAGTAGCAACCCAGTCAGGCCCTAAGAAAAACAGGCAGGAGAAAGGTTATCTACATTTGTGTGAAAAGAGGCTCTTTTCTGGCCAGGCCTCGTGCACATAGCCTTCCTAGCCCAAGTTTACCTTCCCCTCAAACCAAAAATCCTGCACTATGTGACTTAAAATCAGTAAAAACCAGGAGTAAGACACCAGGC